GACTTCTATGATCGCCACGTTCATGGCCACATTACAGTTTATAGAAACAAGCGCTAAAAGCGGACAAAACGTAGACGAGGCATTTTCGATGCTGGCGCGCGAGATCTACGCCCGTATAAGGTCGAACGACCTTTCGCTAGTCTACGGTTGGGAGGGCATCAAGCCGGGCATCGGCGACTCGGTGATGCTGATGAACGACGACTCGTGTTCGGACAATATCGGCCTTTGTTCGTACTGTTGAATCCATGTGCTTCGGCCTTCTGCGTTGATTCGACGTCTGCTATTCGTCTCCACTATAGTTGTCGTTGCTCACCTGACGCTTCGTTCCTGTCGAAGCTACCAGTGTTGTTTTCGACGGCTTCGTGATTGGGCTTGTTATAAATTCATATGCTTTGTGCGGTTGTGTGCCTTTTTCATTTGCGCGCTTTCGTTGAAATGTCTAATAAATTTTTGTCGGTTTGCACGTGTCCGTTCTGTGAACTGCTCGCATGACGTTGCGTTCGTTCATACGAACATATACCGCGTCCGCTATGTGCAAAATTTACCTTGAAAACTGCTGAATGAAAGCAAGGGCCTGCTGTGTTTTTCATTTCGCTAGGGTAGTTATTTTGTGCTGTGCTTCGTGATGACGTACAACGTATTTTCATGGAAAACATACCGCACTCTACTCTCTCTACTATATCTGTTTTTCTACTCTGTATGCCTACCGATCGATGTATGTCCGTTTGAGTTCAAACGTGATTTTGTTGGATGCAAAATCGTGGTGCTGTTGCGCTCCCTTGCGTTGATATTGATCTGTGGCCTGCTTAAACTGTCTCCTAGGCTTCTAGAAACAGAAGAAACGGTGCGACATCAAGTTCCATCTATTCCATTCATCTAAAAGGAAGGGCCGGTGCCATTTTGTCACAACAGTTCTGTATAAATTGTATGAGTCATTCGCTGTACCGCAATGCAACTTGAGTATGCGTAATCCGAGATGCTGGGGGCAGATCGTTTCTTACTTTGGATTTTTCCGTATTTTAAAATACATGGAATTGTGGAGTTGAATAGAATTGAGGCGAAACTTAGGGATTCGATGAAGAAACTCATAACGGGTTGCAGGGTTCCGAAATATAAATTATTAAAACCATTCAACACGTTTTCTTACCAAAATTCTGTTCTTCAACACAAAGTTGCGAATTTACTTTCTTTGAATAAATCTTTTTATGGCCCAAAACAGTTCTCTTCCAAAAGGCTGCCTGTAGTGAATGAAGTTGTGGATGTTCCGCAGCTCCTTACAGATCACAAGAAAAGAAACTCACTTATTTCACATTGTAACGACCCGGGTTTCGTTGCGGTACAACATTTTAAAATGCAGATAAATATTTTCTTACTGCTTATTAGCTTAGAAGGAAGGAGGTTGAAGAATGGGTGTAAGTTAGGAGCTTTAATGAGTTGTTTCCATGATATAATGAAAATATGATGTGTTTGACGTGTTGTCCCCTTTGATCCATCAGACAAACTGATTAGTGACAAATCATGCTCATAAATAGGAGGTAAAGAAAATCTGATAACGTTTGACCATCCGGCCCTCGTTAGGGATGGAGGGAGGCTTTTCTCTGATTGGCCGGATATTAGACGATACGATTTTTGCCGATGGAAGTTGGAGCGGAAGAGGGACAGAAAGAGTGTTATGGTCGTTCATATTATCCAT